AATTGATTTCAATTATTAAGATTATGTTTACAAATACGTGGCCTAATTGTATGATTGGATTGACGATATATTATTATTCAAAAATTTTAATACACTTTTATTTTCAATGAAACTAATTCAATGTACTATTGTTTTGCTCTATGTAAATTTGAATTATATTATTAATTATATAATTTTTGTATTTGTTTAAAGCGTTTGGAAACAAACTTTCTATGAATATATTAATAGTACATAAAGACATTAAGAATAAATAACGTGACATATGAATACATTAAATAACTCGTAAATTATTTTTTGCATGAATAACGAACATCATATAAAAGCTGCATATAAAAGAATATAATTTAATGTTATTAATTTTTTTTATAATAAATATATGAAGAAACTGTACAAATGTGAAATAAAAATTTTTGAAATATCAGTATTTACTTCATTTAACGATTATTAAATTACTTATAATTATAAATTAACTATTTGCTATTAATTCACATTTTAAAATTTAGAATTGCATTACAATGATATATAAAATATCAAATGTTCAATAATGTAGATATTTATTGCCTGTCACAACTTCATTTTCCAAATTGTCATACGAACGTTGACACGATAACATTATCATTCAATATTAAAAATGTCACTGTGTCGGAGATAATCTCGGGAGAATTGGCAGCGTGGAATTTCGAAGGACCAAAACCGAGTTATGCCGTTCCGGTTCCATTAAATGATTAATGTTTCGAGGTACGTCTGATTAATGTTTCAAGTCGCCATCGATGCGACCTGGCCAAGTTCGTAGTTTGCACTCAAACCCAAACGCGAATTCTCCGAGGAACCATTCTGATCGAAAGATACTGCACGCCACGCCACTTCGTTTCATTAAGTATAATCTCTGATAAAGTTTCCACTAACTAGATAATTCCACGCTATTTATCATTGGAAATCCAAATATTTACGATATTAATGGGATATACTTTCGTTCGTTTCGAAAGATTGAATGTTACGAAACTTTTCTTTTAGATCCGTGCTATTACTAAAATATATGAAAATTATTAAAATATAAATACATAAAATTTCTCTTCCATCTTCAACTTGTATTAAATCTTATTTAAAAGATCTCCCTAATCTATTCAATTTAAAAAATCTAAAAAACAATCAAAATAAGAATCCTAAATAACTAACTTACTAAATAACTAAATAATTAACTTAAATAATCAAGCACTATCCTTAGTCAAAATTAGCAAAAAAGCAAATCTCTAATTTTTTAACTCTAATTAAAAAAAGAAGATAAACGAAAACAAAAATATCGAATGATAACACGTTAAATATTAGTCTAAGAAGGATATAAAATCGATCTTAAAAAGCCTCTAATCTTTCGAACTGATCACAAAAAAAAATCCAACGACAAAACTAAAATAAAAAGCAACCACAATATCTCTACGTAGTAGGGCACCAAATATCCCTAGTCAAAGGACGAAAACACGATATAAAATCGATCGTAAGAAGCCTCTATATCCCCTTCGATCTAATCAAAAACCGATCACAAAAAATCCGAAGACAAAATCGAAACAAAAATTCCAAACAAGCAATCTCTAAGTAATAAGGCACCGAATATCCTTGGTCAAAGAAGGAAGACACGATAATAAAATCGATCGCGGGTCCCTCGTAAGGCAACGAGGGACAAGGAGAGTATAAGGAAAAAGCGAGAAAGGAGGCGATAGCATCGGCATCGACGTCCGTCCAGCGGATGGAAACAAAGGATAACGAGGCGCGAAAATCGCTTAACGCGATTGGCCATCGATCCTATGGGAAACTTATCTTGGCCGTTGCTCACTCGCCGAGCCAATAAAGGATCCCCTCGGCCTTTCCACGGGATTAAATATCTCGGGGCAATTTACCTCCTTCGACCTCTTTCGCCGCCGTCTGCCCCACCCCTCCCCTCCTCCATCTTTCTTTCCGCTCTTCTTTTTTCATCGGGACGTCGACGCCCACGCCGAGATTTCTCCACGAAAGAGCGATCGTTTTCGCGGCGAAAATCGTTCTATTTCACATTCGTGTAAATAGAAATCCAAGTCTTATAAATTTTATCAATTTTAAATCGTGATTGATTAAATTTACGAATCTTTTTATTTTTTCTTTTTTTTTTTCGATTCTTCGATGTATATATCGTTTCACGCATATCGTAAGAGTTTGATTTGTCTGTTTTTTTTATTAATTTGGTGAATACATGATAGAATAGGACTTTTTGACGAGTAGAAGAGTGAAGTTGAGATTCGGATTTATGATTTGTGAAATAATGAAGCGATTCTTCTTAGATTGAAATTTTATGAATCTTATATATATATATATATAATGAAAGAATTAAGTGAAAGAAATAATATATTTTAATTTTTTTTTTTTTTTCCAACAAACGATAGTCAGAATATTCTTTTGCTTTAAGCTTTTAAGTTTTTATTGTTTTTTTTAATTCTATATGGTATGGTTCTTTTTAGATTGAAAATAATTCGAGCGAATTGTTGGAAATTGTTGATTCGTGAGTTTTTATATTTCATTGGTTTTGAAAAATACATTTATAAACGAAAGAAATTCGGGAATTATTGGAAATTTATACCATGCCTTTTCATATTTGTATGTATTTCGGTTTTGGTTTTTTCAATTGAATGGCGTTCGAAGAGAAAATATTGGAATTTTATTCCCCAACTTTAAGCTCATTCTTTTTTCTATTTTTTTTTTTCTAAATTCGCTTTTTTTTTGCACCAACAATGGATTTATTGGAAATTTTTTAACAAATCTTATTACCTCGGTTACATTCATAAGATTGGAACAATGCTTGTTGTACAACAATAACGATGCAAATTACTCGAATAGAATAAATTGTAAGGATTATAGTTCAACATTGTCGGGCCATTCATCATTCATGAATTATTAATGAAAGAAGAAAATGTAAATTACTAGTAATGTTAGATAGAATAGAAAATAAGACATTTTCTTGGGTGTACATTCAATGTTACATAAGAATGCGCGTTCAACAAATTATAAATTTTGTACCGTTTATCGATCGACCGAAAAATATAATTTGGAAACAAAACCACTAAAGAATGATCATACATCAACCACCATTTTTATTTTATCAAAAATTAGCTGGAATATCAAATAACTATAAATGATAATCAATCACGTTATAAATTCCTACGAAGAAATCCATTATTATTAACTAAACTCGTCTAGTGCACCCTAGAATCCCATCTTTGTCTCTCTAGAATACACCAATAAACTCAACAACAAAAAAATGATATTTCTACTTTTAATTAAATTTCACTCCTGTTATATCTCATATTAAGTTCTAATTAATTTTTTAATCTATGACTCATCACACTGCACTACTAGTAATAAAAAGCATAATTAAACTGCTTTCGTAAAATGAATATTTTTCTTTTTTAATAAAATGGTGGATAAAAAAAAGAAAAAGGTAAAACAGAGGTGGTAAAACGACGATACAAGGCTTTGTCGATTGTCTTCCTCCTTGTTTTCGAGTCGCGAGTTGTTAGCAGGGCAGACGGTCGAATTAAGCTTGGTTTTCACAGCGGCCACGGGCCAAGATTGAATTGCCACCCTTTGGCTTTCGTCGCGGAGTGCTTTCGAAAATTAAGCGACATTGTGCCTTAACGAATGGGGATTCAAGCCTACATCTGGCCGAAAAAAAAAAAAAAAAAAGAAAGAAAGAAAAAAATACGCGGGAACATCCAAGGGGCAAGAAGGACCGGAAGTGGAGGACCGGGGGGAAAAAGTTCTATCGAGCGAATGGTTTTCGTGTCGAGGAAAATTTTACTTCCTTCGAGGAGGAAGATCGAGATCGTATTAGTGAAATGTTAACCTTTTCTTGTAAGGCAGTTACACTACAGATAACTGCCTTTTAAAATATTGTACCCTTGCTGTTATTCTTGTAACTTCAAAAAAAAAAACTTCAAAAACTCAAAAAATGATGTAAAAAATTAAATTATAATTAATTTAATTATGAAGTCATTTTATCGTGTTTATTATTTTTAGAGAAACGCTCGTATAACGTGAGGGATCGAAATAAAAAAAAAAAAAAAGAAAAAAAAAGAAAAAAAAAGAAAAAAAAAATTCCAATTTCCAACAAAAAATCGAGGTAAAAATGTTCCACACAACAAAAGTGATCGACTCGTTCGCAAATAATATCGCACGGGGGAAGAAAAAAAAAAATATCCTTAGACGAAGGATCCTTATGGTTCACGTACTAAGCGCGATGGTAGAAACGTCGAGGCGGGCGTCGTTATTGCACGATGCTGAGGTCAGTCTACGTGACCGAGCAGATATTGCCTCCTACGACCACGGGTACCACCGTAGTCACCAACATTAACCGCCATGAGCTCACCACCGAGGCAATAATGCCACGCCTCGAAAGATAGCCCCCTTGACCAGCATCTTTGTCCCAATATAGTTTCACCCTCCTTCCACTTCCCGCCATTTCTTTCCGCTACCCCTTAACGAATCTTTTGGTCACCTTATATGGGGGATACGATATATGGGGGATATGATATTTTCGATTTTTATTTTATTTCTTTTTTCTCCCATCTTTTCTTTTTCGTTTTCATTTTTTTTTTTTTTTTTTTTATGAGAATTGAGGTTGATGGATTTTCGATGGATTTACGTGAGTATTCGTTTTCTTCTTATTTTTGCCTCGAAGTGGTAGAGAAATTTTTTTTGGAATAATTGAAAAGTCTACCTCTATCTAAATTCATTGTGAATAAGCTTAACGAATAAGCTTCGAGCAATTTTTTTTTATTTTTGCATTTGTTTTTTTGACCAGATTAGAATCGAGAATATATTAATACCCTGTACATGTATATTTCTGATATGAAACAGAACGATATATATATATATATATCTTTTCATCGTCTTCCACGACCCTCTTTTCTTTTTTTATTTCGATCACCCTAGCGAAAATGTGGAAGAGAGATTTGTCAGGAAATTGCTTGACTCACCGTACATCTTCCCTTCGTCGGACAGGATGATTTTGCGTCGGCCGCATGGCGGATATATAGTGAGAGCTTCTTGGAAGCTCTGCTCGATATCCGGCGACCATACACCTTCCGCGTCCGCTGCCGATAAGTCCTTCTCGTCCTGAAAAATACCAACCAAGCCAATAAGAAAAATTTCTGCGAAGAAAACATTGTTAGAAAAACTATTGATGAAACGTGATTTTCGCTTAATATAAATTGTACAGCAATAATTAATAATATAAATGCATAAACAATTAAGAAATCTAATAATGAGATACCATAATGTAATTAACAATATTAATAAATATGTAAACATGTTAAGTTTTTTTAACTTTAATTAAAAGTACACAATTTTGAGGTTATATCAGCAAAATACAAAAGATGGCGTCCTTCGTAGCAAAGTATGTTGAAGCTAATTAAAAAAAATATTCAAATATAAAAAAACGAATTGTACGAGTCGAAGATAATTAAAATAAAGAAATATTGAACTTACATCGCTAATTTCGCCAACATCGAGGTTCTTGGTATCCGAGCCGGAGCCGTTCGCGTCGGGCGGCGGCCCGGAACTCGTGGGAGTCCACGGCGCGGAAATGGTGTCGGCTGCAGCCACCGCACTGCCTGTAACAATCAACCACATTCGTTATTTCTCTGCTCTCCCGTGATATGTCATCCACGTGTACAATCTTTTTAAATTTTTCTCTTTTGATCTGGTGAAATAAGAAACAAAAACGAAATCTGTTTTCTTTCACACGTCCAAAGATAAAGAGGAAAGAAACGAAGAAGAAAAATTAGATATAAAAATGAAAGAAGACTAAAAGTATAGTATACATTTTGCAAAATGTCTTTGGTGATATCGAAAATTTATTTGATAAATGTACAAAATATAAAATTGTAATGTATTAAAAACATTAATATTTAATTTTTGTTATCATATTTAATAGATAACGATATCTTTTGAATTAGAATATTCCAAGTATATATCCAAATCGAATGAATTTTCAATATTAATACTCAACAATCATGTACCATACTGCCCTCAAATGTGTTGTTGTATTTCTATAGCGTTCATAGTGTATCATTTACATATAT